GGCTAATGTCCGTCCCATGCACTGAAAGCTCTCTCCTCCACATCACGAGTAGACACGCCCCTTATTGCTGATTGGCTACAAGTTTGTTTTGCTATTCGGTCCGAATCAGTTTTCTAAAGTGTTTTTGAAAAATCACATACCCTGCCTTTAAATACAATAGGCTATAGCATGTATATAATTGACTCCAGGAAAAAATCTGTGGGGGTGCTTTTGTCTTTCTTGGGGGTGCTGAAGCATCTGCTAGCCCCTCCCTAGCACCGCCCATGCCGTGGAGTGGGATGTAAATACTCCATAAAAACCGTCCATAAAACTGAAAAGTCTTTTTACTTTTTGACACAACAAAGAGTCCAATAGAGCCACGAGTTCATCCTCAAATCTTCATTAACTGACTGCACACCGCTTTAAAAGAATCACATTTTGTTGCTTTGCAGCCTGAATGGAAGACGGACACAGTTTTTGTTTTATCCAGCTGTATTTACTCAGTGCAACTTTTAACATCCAAGTGTGATTATTTAAATGTAATTATTTTAATAGGTGATTCTTTTCTATACCCACATTTGGGTGGAGAGGGGAGCAAGTCGCGCGTAGAACAGAAAACTGGCGGTTGCAGCTCCGTTGGAGAAGAACTGGATCTTAAACCATTCAGGTGACATATAGCTCATATTTCCGCCACTGTAAGTTACGGAAACCACAAATAAAACCCTGCAATACACCGTAGACACGCGTTTGTGCAGCAGAGCGGCTCTCTCTCGCATTGTATGACTTGACAGACAACTAGTTGTCTAGTCCGGTTCCGTTCACACATCACGGGCTTTCAAAAATGCGATTGAGTCTTGAAAATGTACGGGTAAATAACCGTACTGTGAACGTAACCGTATTAAGGACTCAAATACAGGACTGACAACAGTATTCTGCTGCTGTGTGAACATGGCCTTATAGAATGTAACGTTAGTTGTCACACCCATAAATAACCGTACGTGAACGTAACCGTATTGTAATAATTATATACTTAAGCCGCTGCCACCACCTTTCAGACCATTCTGTTTTTGTTTTAAATCCTGAAATTAATCTAAATCAAATCAAAAACAACTGCCCGTGCAGATCATGATTAAAATGCAGTGGTTGCCTCTTAATTTCAAATGGCTAGATATTTTTGTTTAAAGCCAGTTTTTTTGTTATAAAGCAAATAGCCAATAAATAAATTTGCTTAAAAATCAGTATCAGAATCCAATTTGCTAGTTAAAAAAAAATAAAGAAATAAAGAAAAAGGAAATCTGAATTCTGAATCAGCTATGATCGGCGCATCACTAATTAAAATACTAAGTAAAAGGCCTCAAATTTGAAGTACAATCTGGGATGTCTTTTTCTATCAATTCTTCAATAGGTAGATCTTGTCTTTCATAAAGGCCGAGGTCAGGGATCTTGGGCCTAAAAAGGTTGGTGACCACTGCTTTAGAATGATGATAACATGACAATGATAATGACATTATAATATATTTTAATTAGGTGGCCAATGCCAATGATCAAATGTGCTTTTAAAGCTGAGATTCAGCAGCTTACAACAATAACCAAAATGTGTACACTTGTTTTATTACTTCAAAAGAGAAAACATGCATAAACCACAACTGCCTACTTATGTCCCAATTTATCTTTAAGGATATTCACTGGTGTTTATTTCAATGTTGAGACGATTATTATTTTAGAAGAGCTAAATTATTTTTAAAAAGTAAACCTTTAACAGAAGGCATCATCTCAATAATATAAATACATTTCCATTTGATACCCATTGTATACAATTTGACCCATTTTTATAATGGCTGCCTGCAAATGCAGTTTCACTATCCACCAGAAGATGGCAGTCATACCATCTGTTACTGCTAGTGCTAACTACTCAAACCTAAGAGGAAATTTAGGCCTGGTTTCACAGACGGGGTTTAGACTAAACCAGGATTAGGCCATAGTTCAATTAGGAAATTTAAGTAATTTTTATAAATGCGCCTTAAGAGAAAGCATTACTGGTGTGCATCCTGAGACAAAACAAAGGCACTGATATATTTTAAGATCAGTCAGTGCAAGTTTCTTTCAGTTGAAACAGCTCAGACTTACATTTTAGTCTGGGACTAGGCTTAAGCCTTGTCTATGAAACCGGGGTATACTATTAAAACTAAACTAAATTTTAAAACTAAATTTCAGCTAAATTCCACATTTATTTCTGTAGCTTTGAGACTAGGCTGCAATAAAATAGCGATCAATCTAATTTAAATATGATGTAATTTGAATGTCATTATATTGCATTATGTAAGCAAGAATCCCAGTCAAAATATAAATGAAAAGCCACCACAACTCCTGATAAATCACACAAGCAGGTGTGTATGAATAATAGAAGCAAATAGTCAAAGAAAAAAAAATGAAATTTTAATACCTTTTGGTCATGTGACCATCAGGCATTGCATATTTCTTTAACCTTTAAAGTGAAATATATATATATATATATACTTTTGTGACCTGAGTCACTAACTTGGCTAGTCCAAGTAAACTGTGTGTGTTCCAGGCCCAGGTTCCAGGACCAAAGTGCGTGCGTCACCGAGTGTCCTTGTTTCACAGCATTGCAGAAAGCAGCCTGTTAGAAGCTGTGCCAGGCCAGGTTCCTGAGCAGCAATGCCAGTCTTGCCCAGAGAGGCCCTCTTCGAGTGTGGCACAGGAATAGGTGCATGGAGTGGTAGCCACCTGCTCAGAGGATTAGCCAAAAGCACACAGAGACCCTCCATAAACACCAATTGCTTTCCAAAATACCTTTGCTGTGAATACTGAAGCATTTGTGTCTTTGGCTCACTATTTTGAAGAATATCACATTCGCTCTATTTTGAATAACGAGTTTTGGTTGCTCTCATTTTTACATGTAAGCTCCATTATGCTTTTACATTTTAATTGAACATATTAATGGTTCTGTGCCTTTAAAAAAATCTTATTATTTGAGTTTTTTTAAGTATTTATTTTAGAGAGATATTAAATTATTCCCATAATAGTTTTATTTGGAAATATAAGGTGACAAAAACTGTCTGTAAGGAGTGTAAGAAAAAAAAAAATTCTAGAAAAATGTCCTGGCAGAAAATTGACAGTACCTTTTCTATTAAGTTTATGGACATTTTCTTTAACCGTAAAACACAACAAAATAGAGTGCTGCAGTGATGACGTATTTTTGTAGGTCAACGTGGAAGAAGCATCACCCTGGTTCCTTCAATAAAAATAGGATTTTTCCATTGGCTTTTGGATTACTGCAAAAAATGAGCTCTGTGACCAACAAAAGTTTATAATACTTACACATTTTGTTCATCACAATAATCTTCCCAAATGAAGACAATTTTTATGAATTTTAAAGCCTAAATACGATTATGAAAGGTAAAAAGCTAAACATAGTTAATAATCGAACTACACAAAGGTCACGACTTCAACGTCACCACCATAACACTTTCAAAAATACATTTTCCTTGGGAGTTTGAGTTAGAACAGTTTGCAAAAGCGCAAACACCGCTATAAAGAAAACTAGTTTGTAGATTAGTTTACCTGTTTGACGCAATGACATTAATGTCCCCAACAACCTCTGTAGTCCCATTTAGCCACTTGTTAGCACTTGCCTTTTTCAAGACAAGTAAAAGCTTTAAAAATCACAATGGGTATTACTGATGTATTTTATGTTGTAGAATAAAATGTGAAAATATCTTGAGTTTGTGTTAACCACAGACATTATTTCAGGCATTTAACCAAAAAGAAAAAAAAAGAAAAACAAAAGCCATGGGTATGAATTTTGTGTTTCTTGTTTTGATCCTTTGATTCTCAAAGTGACAGCACCCGTTGACTTGCATTCTATGAATCACCAAGGACCATGGATCCAGCTATAAATCATCTTTAATGTTCTACTGAAGCAAGAAATTCATCTACATCTTGGATGCCCTGATGGTGAGTAAATTAACAGCAAATGTTCTTTTTTGGGTCAACTATTCCTTTAACAATACTTTTTTGCATTAGGAACGCTAAATGGTTTTCTTGCACAGTTGTTTGTGCCATCAACAAAGGGTTTTGTTTTTCACAGCGTTCCTGGTACAACATACACAGATTCTGCTGTGTGAATGTAAGAGGCTGTGTTTGTTTGTGTGGGACTGCAGTCAAATCTTTAATTGAGGAGATTAAATATGCACTGACACTTTTAGAAAGGGACGAGAATGCTTGTTTGCGCGGCTGGGATGGAAGGAAACACATAGGTAGCGGACAGATGGAAGGATGAATAGATATGTATGCGAATCGAACAGACAGATGGATCTAGAACAAGCACACAAACGTGAACCCACAATCATGCCTGCCATAGACAAGAATGTGTCCTTTTATTTAAATCTCAAGTACACAGTGGACCCAAAAAGTATATAGGCACTTAAGCCACACTTAATGTACGCATGTCATTGCATTACACGGAAAAAATGTCAGTTGATTTTGTTATCAAACGCATTGGTCACAAAACACACATAGCCTACACAAAGCATTATAAAGCAGTTGTATTATACAATTTTTATTTATATCCAACAATTTCATGTAGGCCTGGGTACTGCAGTGGTGATTGCTTCAATTAAGGCAAGTTAATATGAATTTGTCTAACCATAGGATAGTAAAAGCATGCTAATTTTTACTCTTCAGCCCTATTGGGCAGGAGACCCCGGTGCCACCCAGTCCACAGTAGCCGTTGGGGTTCTTGCTGAGGTACTGCTGGTGATAGTCTTCTGCATAGTAGAACTCCTTAGTCATTGTTATTTCTGTGGTGATGGCTCCAAAACCCTCTTCAGTCAGCATCTGCAACAGAAGGCTATTTATGATCTATATATAGTGCCATTTAGTGTATTTGAGTGCATTTTGCCT